AAAGTTATTTTTGTTGACAACAAAGTTAGCAAAGTTTGTACAGTCAAAGTATCTACAGTGAAAGTTTTTACAATCAAAGTCTCCACAGCCAGAGGTAACAGTCGTTACCAATCGACCTCTAAATTGAGATCTTTCCCTTTTTTAATATTGCTTTCCTTTAATATTCCAATTGTAATTGTCTTCTCTCTCTCGCCATTGTCGTCATAAGTTTCCCACTAGTTGTTTTTTTTATCTTCCTATATTAGTTTCTCTCCCTTTTCATTTTCTTTAATCAACTTTGCTATTTCTCTATTTTTCACACTTTTGGTTCAAAGTCTTAATTTTTTTCCGTGTTTTGTGAATAGTTTTCTTTTGCCATAAGGGAAAATTTTAGTTATTTATGTAAATAGTTTTGTTTTTGGAGATTTTTTATTAGGAAAATTATATAGAGAAAAATATTGAAACTTTCATGTTAATTTTTAGGGTTTCTGAATTGGGGAAAAAGCAATCGAATTGGAGAAAAAAGCAATCAGATCGTGTAGCTGATGAAAAATAAAGAAAAGTCCTAGGTTACTTGAATTGCCTATAGCTGAGATGAAGAAAGCACATAGTCGTGTCCAGTAAACACATGTCGAAAATATGGGTTAATGACCACATGGTCAAAATTTAGTGGATAGGCTTGGATGGAAATTACAGAAGCATGGAGGAAACCGATTCCTATATCCAATATCTAATCTTAGAATTTTCGTGGATATTGTGTTTTAATCTATCCTCATAAAATTGTTTATTTACATAACCCAATTTGGATCTTCCAATGTTTTCTTTCATTAGCTTAATTTGCATATTTCAATCTTTATCTTTTCACCTTGATACCTTGACCATATATCCATGTGGTTACTATAATGTGGATATTTTGGGATATTCATTAAAATGTTTACAGGTTAGGATGTATGATTTATGGTTTTGGTTTTACAGTTAAATTTAATTGGACAAGGTTTAAGGTTTTAGATTCATGTTTTATGTTTAGAGTTTAGTGTTTAAGGTTAGAGTTTTGGGTTTTGGTTTAGGGTATATGATTTAGGGTTTAAGCTATAGAATTTAGGGTTTAGACTTTAAGGTTTAAGGTTTATGAATTATTTATCAAAAAACATATTCTTTGATTAAATAGGTTTTAATATGTTTTTTTTATGATTAAACCCTATAGATATCTATAAACTATAGTGCAATTGACCATTAATGTATCAATGAACAAATGTTCAACTACAAATGGATAGTGTATAATATAAAAATTTATCAAAAAATATAGCAATATGCATCTTAAAATGTAAAGAAAATATAATCATAACTTATTATATAAAAATAAATAGATAACTTTTGATAATAAATACATAAAATGACACCCTATAATGAGAACAACAAAAAAAAAGAGTAAAAAGAGGAGAAAAAAGGACAGAAGAAGGGAAAAATGGATTAAACAAAAAAATAACAATTTAAGCAATTTTTCAAAACTACTTCTAGCACACAACCAAAACTACATATAGTTTACAACAGACATCCATCATAAGGGCAAAATGATCAGCTGAAAAAACATAACATAACAAAACATGAAAGAAAGTATACCTTGACATGAAAGTAGGTTTCTTTGTCAATATTTTCACCAAAAGTAGGTTTTTGTGTTAATAACTCTAATATTAATATGTTAGAAAAATAAATTAATATGGCTGTTAAATGAATTAAACATGGGATTTTATACTTTTAATATATTAAAAATAAATTTAATTAAAATAGTCTCAAATACCTTATGAAATTTTACCGAAAGAATATCCCTTTGTTAATTGCCATACTTAACTATCGAATTTCATCTTGAAAGATTTTCATCTTGAAAATTTTGCATATAATATAAATATATGGCCTATCTTCTGACTCTAACGAATGCTTTTGGAAATACTTTGTGTTCAGGCCATTTAGGATTGCAAGTAATCGTAATGAATAGTTCTGGATAACTACATCACGAATTTGAACCACCAGTATATAAAGAAGGAATGAATATTCACTGACCCTAATTTCTGAGGTTATGATTAGTACTCTCATAAATGTTTTTGATTTTTTTCATAATTTTTTCGCACCTAAGATTTGTTTATTGTAATATATACAACAACCTATTTGATTTTATCATAGCTTACGTATCAACCAAAACCTTATGAAAAAGTCTACCTGACATTATGATTATAGAAGATCCTCCAAGCCTCGTCTATATACGGTAAGCAAAAAACTCACGCATGGTGACGTTTAAAACTACTTGTCTAACTTTTATTAGTCGTTTAAAAATCCTATGTGCATGGTCGTAAAAGCTTATAGTTTTTTTTTGTAGGGGAAAGGGAGCTAGCTCCCTAAAAATACAAAATACATAAAAAAGAAAACTACAAACGAACATTCCGGATATGTCCCACTCCGCTAATGTCTTCAAGAACAATCTGATTCACAAACTCCGGGCAAGTATCAAAAGAGAGAAAACCCAATGGGAGAGAAAATGCATAGTTAGCTAAACCGTCGGCAAGACGGTTAGCCTCTCTATACACGTGAGAAATTCGGACTATCCAGTCCTTTGAGAGTAAGCCATAGCACAAACGTACTAGGAAAGATAAGGGATGAGCGTCCTTAACCCCTCTCCGTAAGAAACCAACTACCAGCTCCGAATCAATATCCAGTTCAAGTCGTGTAAAACCTCGCTCCCAAGCTATAAGAAGGCCATAATAAACTCCCCACAACTCAGCCATAGGAGTCGAGCAAATGCCGATATTCAACGCAAAACCACCTTGCCAGTTTCCATGGCTATCCCGTAGCACACCACCTGCCGTTGCAAGTCCGGGTTGCCCCATGAGGCGCCATCTGTGTTCAGTTTTATCCATTATCCATGCCCCGGGAGGAATCCACTTAACCAATCTCTCTTCCCGTACAACCTTATCCATAGTGTTTGTTAGCTTCAAGTGAGCAGTCCAAACCTCTTCAGCCAGACCTTTAAGAAAACAAACTCGATCTCTGCATTTCCCATTTGTGCCAAAAATGTTACCACACCTCCACTTCCACCCCCACCAAATAGCCATTGCAAATCTTGTAGCCCACGGACAACCATCCACCTCCTTCTCGTCACAAAGGTTAAGATAAACCCATTCCAAAAGGGTTTTAGCGAAAAAAGATTCAAGCTTCCTTACCGGGACAAGGCAGCGCCATACACCCGACATTGCCGGACAATCCCGAAGTACATGAATAATGGTCTCCTCCCCACTCTTACAAATTTTACACAAACCCGTGTCTATAAGATGACGCCGATGCCTCTCACAGTCCGTCATAATCGCTTGGTGCACCACCAGCCAAAGAAAACATCGAACTCGTTCTGATACCTTAACCTTCCAGACCCGATCAAAAAAACTTCCCATCGAAGGTCTAGGGCTGTCATCACGGGTTAGGAGAGAGTAGGCGGACTTAACTGTGAACTCACCATCCGAAGTCGCACTCCATGATATTCGATCACCAGGATTCGTTACCGTAACAATCACCATTGCGCCAAGGTACAGTCGCATATTAAGTGAAATAAATTGGCTAATTCGAGTAAGGTCCCAGCCCGTATCAACCCTCCATAAATCAATCGGACAAACCTCAACCTCACCACCTGGTATGTCGATTATACTCAAATCCATCAATGGCTTGTCTAAGAGCCATTTTTCTTTCCAAAATTTGATTGTTTTACCATCACGAATGACCCAACTCAGACTCGGGAGAACAACTTCATGCACTCCCATTCCTATACTACGCCAAGTAGATGACCACCTCCCCTTAACCTTCAGCCAAGAGTTGTCTTTAACCTCCCCCACTTTATACTTATGGCGTAAGACCCTAGCCCAAAGGCTGCGCTTATCATTGAGTACTCGCCAACCAACCTTGGCTAGAAGAGCCTTATTCATATTTTTTGCAGAACGAATACCCAAACCACCAGCTTCCTTTGGCGTACAAACCCGATACCATGCAATCAAATGTTGCTTGCGTTTCTCACTTGTACTCCCCTAGAGAAAAGACCGTGAATTCTGTCCAAATGCTCCAACGTTGACGATGGTAAGCTTATCGTGCTCATAGAATGGACCGGGAGAGAAGACAGAACAACTTTCGTAAGATTTAAACGCCCTGCAAAGCTTAGAAACCTACTCTTCCATCCCGATAATCTTGCATTCACTCTCTGAATAATCTCTCCAAAGGTGTCCTTATTAATCTTCTTATGTAAGATGTGCTTTCCTAAATATTTTCCAAGGTCCCAAGTAACTTGTATCCCACTTCCGTCACTAATAAGCTTGGCCGTTTCTCTATTGACATTATTAGAAAAGTAGATTTTTGACTTCTCTAAACTCACTTTCTGTCCTGAGGCTACACAAAAACCCTCCAAAACCTTTCTTATCACCCTTACTTGATCAACCGAAGCTTCTGCAAAGAGAAAAAGGTCATCCGTAAAGCATATATGAGACAACTTGGGACCCCCACGAGATAAGCTAATTGGTTTCCACTCCTTGGAAGCAACCACTAGCTCAATTTGATGGCATAATCTCTCCAAACACAGAACGAACGGATACGGTGACGAAGGATCACCCTGTCTAAGCCCCCGGATCGGCTTAAACGGGTCCGTCTTCTCACCATTCCACAACACACTCATCGTCGGGCCGATAACACACTCATCTTAAAAAGCTTATAGTTTCGATTTTCATATAGTATACAGATTTTTGCCAAAATCTTTAAAAAATCTGGATATTGCTCAATAAAACAAAATTAACCTATATAAACCAATCGGTTCCACCCTAACCAAACTGAAATTACCGAATAACCCCAATTTGAACCCTTCCAATCGGTTCAGAAGAACCGAAAATCTCAGTTCGGTTATAAATCGGAGGGCTATGATGGTCATTTCCCCTATTTTCCCCAATTTTTTTGTTTCTCATATAATATTTCTAATCATTTAAATTTATAATTACCACTGAATCGAAGAAGCTTAGATATCATCGAACGTCCTTCAACTGCTCTCTCTTACGATCTCAGTTTCTTTCATCCATGGCGTCTCTTTCTTCCACATCTCTCTCTCTTCCCAATGCTCAACAGCTTCATCTTTCGTCTGGTAAAATCTCGAATCTTTTACACTAAATCTTCGTTCGATAGATAAGACTCTGTCTCTCTCTCTCTCTTTGAGCTGCTCAGATTTGATCCGTATGTTGTTATTATTCCTATTTAGTGTGTTAAGAACCCAATTTGATTGTGTATTGGATGATCCTGATTGCTTTATCTTCTGTGATTTTCAGTTTTTCTCTCCAAATCAGTCTGACTCAGTTTGGATTTTATCTCTGTGGATATAGCTTGAAAGTTTCGATTTTTTAATGTTGGGTTCTCTCTTTTGATTGAGTTGAGTGTTAGTCTCATTGAAGAAAATGGTTTGAAATGCATTTCATGATGCAAAATTAGAACTTGATGAGTGTTATGTTTATTGGAAAGATGAAAGTTTGGAGCTTTTGTTTCTGAATCCATCTGTGTTGAAGTATCGATTTTGCAATCTTGGGTCCTCTCTTTTGATTGAGTTGAGTGGAAGTCTCATTGGCAAATATGGTTTGAAATGCATATCATGATGCAAAATTAGAACTTGAATAGCTTTGGCTGAGATGATTGTTTGTTTATTGGAAGTATGATGGAACTTTGGTTTCTGAATCCATCTGTGTTGGCCGTTGGCATAAGTTTAGATATCGTGAGGCTTTCTTTCTCATTGTCAAAAATGGTTTAAAATGCAAAATTAGAACTTGAATAGCTTTGGAGAGATGAGTGTTTTGTTTATTGGAAACATGAAAGTTTGGAACTTTTGTTTTTGAATCCATCTGTGTTGGCTGTTGGCATAAGTTTAGATATAGTGAGGTCTTTTTTACTAAGTTCATATTGGTGAAAGTAACCATTTCTTTGCGTATCTGTTTCGTATTCGGTTGACATCTTTTTATGCAGATGTAGCTTTTCGAATATGATCTCCCTTTCTTTCTCTCGATTCACTGATCTTTGTTTGTTCTTTATTGATATTGGCTTTAAGTCTCGATTTTGCAATGTTGGGTCGTCTCTTTGAATTGAATTGAGTGTCAATCTCATTGAAGAAATTGGTTTGAAATGCATATCATGATGTGAAATTAGGACTTGAATAGCTTTGGCTGTGATTAGTGTTTATTGGAAAGATGAAAGTTTGATCTTTCGTTTCATTTTTGTTAGCCCGTTGTGTCCATTTGTGTAAGTTTAGATATCGTGAGGCTTTTCTTTCTAAGCTCATATTGGTGAAAGTGACCATTCTTTTGGTTTCTGTTTCGTATCAGGTTGACATCTTTTTATGGATGTAGCTTTTCTAGTATGGTCTCTCTTTCTTTCTCTCGATTCACTGATCTTCGTTCGTTATTTCATGTTAAGGCTTTTCTCTGAAGCCATGTGTCAGTGTTTCTTTTGGACTGAATCACTCCAACAAACTTCATATTTCTGCTCCTAGAAGCAAAAGGATCCTGACCATTCAATCAGCATACAGGTATAGAGTTTGATCCTCTTCTTGAATTTTTTTAGTTGTGGACCTTGGTGGAAGATTGATTACATATCTAAAGTTATACGAACTAATGAATTACTATTTGAGATGTCTGAAAGTTTGTAAATCATTAAGTGTGGTTCGTGTAACCCCTTGATGTTTTCTTAACGAAACAATTGGGACAGTTAGATGGTTTGACCTTAAACATTGTACCTCCTGCATAACATTGGCAACTTATGTTCACACAGACTATTTGCAATGTCTAATAGCATAGCGTCAAATCTTGCAGAGATGATGACAGTTCAGGCAGCACTGGCTTATTTGTCGGAGGGTTTATTTTGGGCGGACTCATAGTTGGGGCTCTCGGATGTGTATACGCACCACAGGTAATATTCGGAATCACAGGGTTATAACTAAACCATCTCTGCCCTTCTTGTCTAAGGTTTGACAATGTATGATGATGTTGTTGTTGTGAACTATATCAGATCAGCAAGGCTATAGCTGGAGCAGACCGAAAGGATCTCATGAGGAAATTGCCGAAGTTCATATATGACGAGGAAAAAGCCTTGGAGGTAAGTTGTAATTATCACTATATGTATAAGCTTGTATCACTTATAATTAGTTCGTTTTTATTGATTTACTTATGAACAACGATGTGTAATGTTAATGCAGAAAACACGCAAGGTACTGGCTGAAAAAATCGCTCAGCTTAACTCTGCTATCGACGATGTGTCCTCGCAGCTCAAATCAGAAGACACCCCGAATGGTGCAGCTCTAAACACTGATGAAGTCGAGGCTACAGCCTGAAGTCATCTGTTTTAGGATTTGAATTGAATCACGGGTGATTACTTATTATGATCCCAATAATTGTTGGCTGTTTCTATGTAATGTTGTACAACTTTTTCAACTATCTTCAAATGACTACCGTCTTCTCTGTTTGTCTCAAAATCGCGTCGAAAAATACCGCAATTATACACCAAACCAGACGTTACATAGATTTTAATTTCTGGATCCTAAAGGAAACTATATGACATGGAAACAAGGATTAAAAAAGTAACGGTCTTTGAGAAACTTGTGATCAATGGCTCACAGAATCTTATCCCCATTGTATCTTACCTACATAATAACCACATATTTCTTTGCTTCACTTATAACCATTGGTTGCTTTTAATCAAAACCAATGGATGTGTGTATGTATGTATATATGCTAACGCTCAAAACTGATCACTAGCATTCCTAGATTTTTCTTCTTGTTTCACTTGCAGCTATGGCCACACATGCAGCTCTCGCCGTCTCTAGAATCCCGGTCGCACAGAGGCTGCAGTCTAAGAGTGCCATTCACTCTTTCCCTGCTCAATGCTCCTCCAAGGTACTAACATACCATCTCTTTGTGTGTGTGTGTGTGTGTTTGTGTTACTGTTTGTTTGATCTGCTTCTCTTGTTATTATCTGCACAGAGGCTAGAAGTTGCTGAGTTCTCTGGCCTGCGTATGAGCAGTAACAGTGGGGAAGCATCTTTCTTTGATGCTGTAGCTTCACAGATCACAACCAAGGTGACTTGACTAATTGATTGATGGAATGAATAACTTTTTTGTTGAGATATGAATGTGCATATGTATGATGAGTTTGTGAAATATTAGGCTGTGACAACGTCCACTCCTATTAGAGGAGAGACAGTGGCCAAACTGAAGGTTGCGATCAACGGGTTTGGAAGGATTGGTAGGAACTTCCTTAGGTGTTGGCACGGTCGCAAGGACTCTCCTCTCGAGGTTGTTGTGCTTAACGACAGTGGTGGTGTCAAGAATGTAAGGACCTAATAAACCGAGAATTGAAGAGGTTAATTCTATGTTGTGGAACAGATTTGAAATTTATGATGAAATTGTAGGCATCCCACTTGCTCAAGTATGACTCTATGCTTGGAACCTTCAAGGCTGAAGTGAAAATTGTGGATAATGAAACTATCAGTGTTGATGGTAAGAACATCAAAGTTGTCTCAAACAGAGACCCTCTTAAGCTTCCATGGGCTGAGCTCGGCATTGACATTGTCATCGAGGTGAAATTCATTTTTCCTATCTAAAGCTTTGCATTTTTAATGATGGCAAACTCGCGCCTCAGTTAACCGTAAAAGATAAATGTTATGATCATCAGGGAACAGGAGTGTTTGTTGATGGGCCAGGAGCAGGGAAGCACATCCAAGCTGGAGCCTCGAAAGTTATCATCACTGCACCAGCCAAAGGTGCTGATATCCCTACCTATGTTATGGGAGTCAATGAGCAAGACTATGGTCACGAAGTCGCTAACATCATTAGGTTCGTTTAAAGTTAAAACCTCTCTCATCAAAACAAGAACTAAGATTTGAGTACTCATGCTTCATTTTTGGTCTCTCTTGGCAGCAATGCATCTTGCACTACCAACTGTTTGGCACCCTTTGCCAAAGTCTTGGATGAAGAATTTGGTACATTGCTTTTACCTTCTCAATATATGTTCTAAATGATTCTGTCTTGCTCATACATTAACTGAATTACAGGAATTGTCAAGGGGACAATGACAACCACACATTCCTACACCGGAGACCAAGTAATAATATACTTATAACATTTGGTTTTGGTTCTTATATATATACTTATAACATTTGGGGTATGAAATTTAAATCCATATTAGCTATATAAGAATGTGTTTTCAGTTTATGGATTAGTTATATGGGTTCGGTTTATAACAAATTATTGAAATGTTAGTGTAAGTTTTGACTAAATACATTTCCTTGAACCAATAGTAACATATAATGAAATTGTTGCAGAGGCTTCTAGATGCATCACACAGGGACCTAAGGCGTGCAAGAGCCGCAGCACTGAACATAGTGCCAACCAGCACAGGAGCAGCCAAGGCTGTGTCACTAGTACTACCGCAGCTGAAGGGTAAACTCAACGGTATTGCACTCCGTGTGCCAACACCAAACGTCTCAGTGGTTGACCTTGTTATAAACGTCGAGAAGAAAGGTATAACGGCAGAGGAAGTGAACGAGGCCTTCAGGAAAGCCGCTAATGGACCAATGAAGGGGATTCTAGACGTTTGCGACGCACCTCTTGTCTCTGTTGACTTCAGGTGCTCTGATGTATCAACCACCATTGACTCTTCCCTAACAATGGTCATGGGTGATGATATGGTCAAGGTGGTTGCCTGGTATGACAATGAGTGGGGTTACAGGTGAGATATATACACCAAATTACATGATATTACTCTATATAACATATGATTGTGTTTGTTGTTTATAGTTGTGTTTGTGTGTTTTGTATTATGTAGCCAAAGAGTAGTGGACTTGGCTCATCTAGTGGCTAGCAAGTGGCCAGGAGAGAAAGCTGTTGGAAGTGGAGACCCTTTGGAGGATTTCTGCCAGACAAACCCGGGAGAGGAGGAATGCAAAGTCTTTGAATGAAGAAGAAGCTTTGTTTAATTCTCTCACCAAACAAATATGTTGAGTTATTTATTCGAAATCATATAATGCATGCCTTTTCCTTTTTTCGTTTATTGTGGAGTATACTATTATTTTGAATGATGAAAGGGGAAACTTAGCAATGCATATGTTGGTATTTTAGAAAATGATTATTAAAAAAAAAAGAAGTGAGTATATTTTCCCAAGTAAAATGAGTTAGAAGTATCATATAATTGTAACTTCAAAACAACTCTCACCAAAAAAAAAAAATGTAACTTCAAAACAATTGTTTTGCTTAGGGTTGTTAAAAGTGGGTTATAGGTTCCCAAAACCCATATTTATCATATTAACTCTGAGATTATCCCCGGTCCACAGATATTTGTATCTGTATCCGTTTTTATCCGAAAAACAAATATTCGGAAAAATGGACACGGATAGTAAAATGATGGATATTTCGGATACAAATACAGATAATGTTAAATTTAAAACCAATAAGAAATATCCGCTTTTTTTTTTTTTTTTTCAATGGACATCCAGTCCGAAATAATCGGATATCCGGTATTTTAAGTACATATATATAGTATTTAGATACATATATCTCATATTACATACGAAAATACGGTATTTTGGTCTAAAATACTCGGAATTTTGATATTTTCATATTTACGGATATTAGCAGTAATCATATTTTTAATGGATTTCCGAATTTTTGGATAGGAATACGATTTCGAAAATCTCGGATAATACTGATACAAATAGGGATATTTCAAGAAAAGAAAAGTGGATATGGGCTTTGTTAATACTGGGCGAGTAGAGTAAAGTTTCGTACAGTTTTATCTGAATTCCTATCTACTAAAAACGACACCGTTTAACACTTCCTCTGTATCAAAGGAGGAGCTCTGTGTTTTCGACACTCTGTGTAATCGATTTCCACTGGATTCTCGTTTCTGGGTTTTTGAAATCTCTGCAGTCACAAAGCAACTCCATTGCTTTTCTTCTTCTGGGTATTGCACATCTGACAGGTAAAGATTGAATCTTTCTTTGTCCGAACTCTTAGTTTATTTTAGGTGTTATTTAACATGTTCTGCCAAATCTGGTTTGCAAAGGTTCATACTTTATTTGGTAAAGTCATCGTATACTCTCCCTTACTGAAATGTTGATGTATACAATGAGCTTGAAGCTAATGGTAGATAGGTTTCGTTTGAATCACTTGATAAGCTTACATGTAAAGGAAGGTTGGGATTAGAATGAAAAAAGGGTCTTTGATTATTTGGTAAAGTTAGAACCTTTTGGCTAGATTAAAAATTGTCTGAATCTCAGGATAATGTCTCCCCTTTCAAAACGTGAAGAGATCATTATGTCACTACACAACTACTCTTTCACTTTGTGACTGTTTCTTTACTTTGATTCCTTGGCTTTGTACTATGCTGATCTCTGGTTTTAATATTGGTTACTTTGTTTGTAGCTTAGAACTCAGCTTTGGTTTCTTTTCACATTCTTTTCTATGACAACAGTTGAACCCTTCTATTTCAGTTATGAAAATTCTTCTTCTTTTGTTGATTTTGCAATGGTTTGTGTTGGTTTTGTGGCACTGGTCCGTGAGATTTTTGATGCTTTGTTCTTACAATCTTGCTCTTAGACCATTCATCTAGAGCTTAGATCTCAGTTTTGATGCCTTTTTTATGCAGAAACATTACGAGACCTCTTGTTGGTTTTGTTTCATTTTCAAGCTTTGGGTTATATAGTTTTTTTCCACTACTTAAATGGCTTTGTAAGATTCATTAGAGGATAGCTTTTGACTAATATAGAATAAAGGGTTTAATTTGCAGCTAAAACACTTTTTTCCAGCTTTAGTTTGTTAAGAATGTGAAGTGATTTCTATTGGTGTTGGTCTGTTGAGTAATCAAGAGCTGTATCTGTTGAGTAATTCTTCTACTAGGTCTCTGAGCTAGTTTATTTCCCATCTCTCTGTTTTCCTTTTATACAATTCAGTGTCCTGAACTATATAAAGATGAGGCTGATCCTCCTGGAATGAATCTTTACTTTCATTCAATCCAGAAATTTAAACATTTTGATTGATGCTTGAGCCTCTGATTCTAATCTCTAGTGTGTTTAGTTGTTGCTTATGTTCTTTGATTTTCTCGATGTCTTCGTTTTTCTTTGATATTCTCAGTGATCAATCTTTGGTTTTTTAACCCACGGCAACGTCCTTGGTTTTGCTGCTAAGTAAGTGAATATAACATGCGCCTGAACATAATTAAAATCCAATTAATGAAGTCCTCTTAATAGGCCTTTAAAAATGCCCAATAACGTGTGTCGACTTCGAGAGAGGAGCGTCTTCTTCCCCTCAGTTGATTTGTTACCTCGGATTACTCTCTCGTCATCTTGTTTCGTAGTGTATCTTACTCTGAGCTGGTATAGTGTCTAGGAAGATGGCTAGTGGTAGCCTGAAAAGCCTTATATCTTCAGCAGTGGGTCGAGGTGTGACGGAAGCAAGAGCCAGGATTTTTGGACATATGCTTAATCCAACGGGACAGAGATCTCCTCATAAAATATTAAGAAAGAAACTTTTTGGTGACAAGGTTGCAGAGTGGTATCCATATGACATCAAGAATGAGGATCCCAATGTCTTGGCTAGAGAAGAACAAGAGTACTTTCCTAAACCTCTCTCTCTTTTTTGTTTATCATAGATACTAATTGAAGTCTTTGAGTTGGGTCGAGCTGTAACATGTTTTCACTAGCTTTAGTTCAACTGCAAATTGGGGTTTAGTGTATGAAAATCCTAAACATGAGAAAAAACTCGATGTAGTAGATTGTATATGTATAGTGATTTCTGCAGCTTATGATATAGTATTGCTGTTGTGTCTCTAGTATAAAATGCAGCAAAGTAACGATACAATTTTATTTGACAAGGATAGTTTATGGATCATAAACTTCGCTCACATTTGGTTTATTCGACTGGTATGTTTTGCCATAATCTGTTGAGAGGCCATTTGAACTTAAATTTGTGTGTTGTTGTAGGCGGATATCAAAGCTTGAGATGCTGAAGCGTCGTAACAAAGGACCACCAAAGAAGGGTCACGGAAGACGTGCTGCCAAGCGTAACAAGTAGAACGAACAACCATAGCTACAAAAGAACATTGCATATTTAGAATCAGACTCTTTTTGTTGGATCAGATAGAACTTTTCAGTTAAAAGTTTCTCAAACTGCATTGGTTTCTAATAATGTTAGTATGTTGAGACACAGTTGAATGCTATTTGCTTCCCTTTTGACTTTCGTTTATGCTCTTCTTTAATCTATAGTTACTTTGATATAAAACCAAAAGAAACACTATATTTTCATAAATGTTTAAAATACTATTTTTCCGTTTCACAAAGAATTTTATTCTAGAAATTTTTTCTTACTTCACAAAAAGTGTCACTCTACAATTTCAATGTATCTTTTACACTAAATTTCTTAATTTACCTTTTAACCCAAAACTCATTCATTGAATTTAAATCATTAATCCTATACTATTAAAATGGAAGTACCTATAAGAAAATATCCAAAAAAAAATTCATCTTTACATGAAATGCCATTACTATAAGATATGTATCCAAACAGATTTAAAGATAGATTTTACTTGGATCCGGGTATAATTTATTTGGATTGTGAATAAGAATTTAGCGTTGGGACACCTTTTTTGACTTTGTTATTATACTTTAACACTTTTCAATCCATGACACATTTTTATGTTGTGAATAGACACAATAACTCTTAACTAAAGTATCTCCTTTTCAATATTATTTCACCTACGTGTTATTCTTGTTTACATTTTCTAATCTTAATAGCAAAAAAAGAAATAAAAAATCTATGTCATCGATCTCAAAAGAAAAAAAAGGGATTAGGATAAAAAAATCTTAGATCCCAAATTCATTTTCTTTGTTCCGCCGTTCCAAATTACACTGTCTCTAGTGCCGTTTTTCCTCAACTTTTCTCGAACACAAATCAAATCTCTCTCTCTCTCCATGGCGATTTGTGGTTAGAATCAAAGTTCTGTATCCATGGCGAGTCGTGGGAGATTCATAAGAAAAAAGAAAAACTACATGGTCAAAACCGATCTCTGCCCACATTCCTTGGCGACTCCGGGCACTTTTGTCCATCCTCTAACTCCAGCCACTACTTTTGAAAATAAAAGTAAGGTGTTTGATTCTATACGAATCAGATCTATAAGATTTATCAAGTAGACGGCGTTGACAATAAGATAGATTCCATGGATCTAGAGCGTGAGAAAGGTATTAGAAGATATAAATCTTCTTGTAATTATCTGATTAATTTATCTCAGAAAATTGAGCCCACTTGTATTAGAATTTGGTTTAATTTAAGTATTATTCCTATCATAATTCACTTTACAAAATAGACATGTTTATCATGGATATTACGTTTTTGTGTCAACTTGTGTTATCATGGACATCATCCATTTGAACATGATTTTATAGACATGGAGAATTCATATCATATCTCAACTCTAATTTTCTCATCTATTTTGGGTTTGGATTGCTCTGTTTCTTACGGATCAAAACAATAACTTTCTTCTTTTATTCTCTTTCTTCATTCATGGTTATGTCTGTGTTGCTGATGATTGAATGTTAATTCAATTATATAGGGCCTGTGTTTTTTTTTTGTTTTTTTTTTTTGTCTTTTGTATGTTATTTCAGATCATCAAGGTTTTAAGGTTTCTAGTAAATCACAGAAACATGTGTGATTGTGTTGAATTTTGATGTGATTTACTCAAAACTAGCCAAGATATTTGAATCAGTTTAATAATTTCATTCCAGTTTCTGGTGTAGCTATGAGTTGAAACCATTGAATTGATTGCGTGAATTTAAGTTGTGTGCTGCAGGATTTTTACAAGATATGGCCAACTCTGTTGGTGAAGAAACTAAGCGAGAATGGATTCAAAGAGTGAAATCAGTGGGAGATGTGCCATGTCTTAAGCCAGAAAACTGCAAAAATGGTTGGACTACGCCATCTGCTGACTCGTTTATGGGATATTAGCACATACACCTACTTTAAACTAAAATATTTACCATCAAACCCACTTGTTGCTATGTGTATACTTTTCCTTTAGGAAAAAAGACTCCACTCCTTCAAACTCTCTAAGTGCTACTCTTTCTCTCCTTACTCTCCTCTTCTCTCTATAAAATTTTCTATTATTTCAGTAAAACAAATAATGTAGATAAAAAGGTTATTCTCACTCCACCGAGAAACCCTATGTGAAAAATTAATTTAGATAAAAGGTTACTCTCCTCTTCTCTTTAATCGACGGAACCACCGATATGTTCATAGAAAAATCCAACCGTGTTCGTAGATCCACCGCCGTAATGAAAACCATCAACATATCCCTCTATGGAGCCCGAATTATATATCCACCATTTAAACCTTCATAATTCATCCCGCCGTAGAACTAGCTAACCAATTTAAACATTCTTTGCTTTTTTGCTGAATTCGTTAGTGGTGCCACATCGTTCCACCGACAAAACGTTAACCAACTCACCAGTATCCACGTTCACCCTCCGCCGCTGAATTTATAGTTCCTTCTCAGCCGGAACCCTAGCAAATCAATCTGAACTTGCTTATCTGTTTACCGACGTCTTTCTCCCTGAATTCTCTCCAAAGGTTTGCTATTTGGGTCCATGTTCTCTTGTAAATCGATTTCCAATTGTTCTTAGCCATGTGGATACCATAAGAGAAGCTATCCATCAACCTTTTACACAAATATCTAAAACATGTATTTTTGCATGTGTTTTTTTCGTTGTTTCGGCTTCGAATTAGCGAGTGTCCTATGTCTTGCAAGTTAATACATGCCCTCCTCTACAGGCAGGTTCTGTCCAAGAAAAAGTATGAATTGTGGACGGTGTTTGGTGGATACCCACATGGTAAGAGTTTAGTGGATAAACTTGGATGAAAATTACAAAAGCAAGGAGGAAACCGATTACCAGATTCAATATCTAATCTTATAATTTTGTGTTTTAATCTATCCACGAGGAATTTTCTATTTACATATCTCAATTTTTTTTTCATATAAACACCTTAATCATATCTTAACATGGTAACCTAAGAGAACCCCGGATCTTTGCAGCATTTGTCGGCCTCAGCCAATCTCTCATAGCTTTAATATTCTCTGGATCCACATAAACCCCCTCCATTGAAATAATGTGACCCATAAAACCAACTTCCTACTGCCAAAAACTGTACTTGCTCAGCTTAGCATACAGCTTCTACTCCCGCAACCTCTACATCATGGTCCGCAAATGAACATCGTGCTCTTCGAATACACCAAGATTTCGTTAATAAAGATAATCATGAACTCATCTAGATACTCCTAAAACAAACTGTTCATTAGCCACATAAACGCCGCCAATGCATGCGTCAACCGAAATGGCATCACCATAAACTCATAGTGTCCATACCTCATTCGAAAAGCAATCTTCCAGACATCTGCCTAATCTATCAAGATCTAATGATAACCCGACGCCAAGTCAATCTTGAAAACCCAAGTAGTTCCTCTGAATTGATCCAACAAGTCATCAATCCTCGACAAAAGGCACTTGTTTTTCACAAGACCCGGTTCAACCCTCGGTAATCAATACACAACAAAAAATTATTGTCCTTCTTTTCGCAAACAACTCTCTTGCTCCCCACGGTGATGGACTCGGCAAGATAAAACCCTTATCCATTAAGTCCTCCAGCTACCACTTCTGCTCTACCATCTCTATTGGAACCTCCGATAAGGTGCCTTAGAAAACGGCGTCATCCTTGGTTCCAACTCAATCATGAAAGAATCTGACCGAGACGGTGGAAATCCCTACAACGACCAAAACACTTCCCCTAACTCCTGAACGACCAGATCTCCTCGACCCCTACCGCTCCAACTGTCTCCGGGGTACTAATTGTCACCAGGTAGGTTTCCCTACCTTTCCTAATAACCTCTCAGCCTGCATAGCCAATATCACGAGGTTCCCCTTCATGATAAACCAATTCCCCTTCCTCCTAAGATAACTTGCCAAACTGTTATACATGCTACCACACTCGTAGCACCCACGACCACCGTGGCTCCCTCTAGAAGTGCTTTCCCATTTCCTCTACTGTCCTGGCATAGGCTTATCGCCCTTGCCCGGAACCACTTGTTGCTGAGTCCTCTTCGACTGGATCATCGGCTAGCAACCACCATCTAACCCCTGGGGTAATTCTTGATACTCGCTGAAATCTTGACCAACTCCACCCGCGTGGCATAGATCACCTTGTAGCGTACCCTCAAGCCTACATACAGACCCATCAGGAACTAACACATCCAAAGCAATTCTACATCACCCACCCAACCTAAGTGCACTAGGAGCTTTCTAACTCAGCATCATACTCCCGCACCAACCGGTCATCTTGTGCTAAATATCCGACTCCATCTAGTCTAGTTCCTCCTCTGGGATATATTTGGCATTAAACTCGACAAAAAAATCCCCCTCACCATCTGACTCTGCACACTTTTGGTAACAACACTTTTCCTCTAGAGATGGGCCTCATGTGCCAAGTACTGAACCTCCAGATCCACTCGGTAGGCCTCTAGGAACCTCAAAGATCAAAAGAAGTCCTTCAGCTTCAATAACCACTCATCAGCTACATACGGGTAGATATCTTCAAGTAACGCACTCATACGGAGCTTCTGAAGCTGCTCCAACATCCAAAAGTAGTAATGCTGCTCAACCACCGCACCTACCCCATGCTGCAAACCCGCAACATATAGCTGCACAACCTCTACATATGGCTGCATAACCTCGACACCATGCTGCAAATCCGCAAGCCTTAGCTACAAACTCGTAACCCCAGTTGCGAACCCTGAACCCCTCGTCGCACTCCACCTAACCCCGACTTCACTCCAGCTAACCCCGGCTGCACTTCCGCAACCATCAATTGGTCCCACTGAAACTTGCACTAGCACCGCACTCGGTAATCGTTCCACAACCTTAGTTAGCAAATATGCCAAGCGATCTTCTCGATCCTGGGCTACTCCTGCTGGAATACACCCTCCCTGGATTCCAGCTAAACCAGTACCACCACTAACATTCACACTAACCTCACCCAGCGGTCCCTTCAGATGCTCCTGCGATTCGCCAATAAACTCTGTCGTTGTTCTCTGGCCCATGCTCTCCTCACTCCCCGAGGTTGTACCCTACCCCTACCACGACCACGCACATGATCACGATCACAAGAACCAGCAACTCTAGCCATCTATACTAACAGAACAGTGGCCAAGAACACACGGTAAAAACAATCTTTACCAAACTTACCGTTGAATCACTTTGAAGGTTCATAAGGGATGATCTAGATCTCATGCTCAATCAACTGACTAACTAATCAAAATCAATTAATTAACATACAACAACCAGCTAGACATGCTTAATCAGTTGACTAACTAATCATAATCAATTAATTAACATACTCAGCATACATGATCTAGCCATCCTCAATCAATCTCCATTGAATTTAATTTTAACTCACATAAATCAAATCCTAACATCCTAGGGTATCACACATTCACCCCCTCTTATAGATGGTAACTTCCTTGTTGTGTTCCAAGAACCCCACCGCCTAACCGTTGTTATCCTTCAAACAACCGAGTTTGGCTCTTATACTAATTGTAACGACCCAACTGTTTTTGTCCACAAACACAGACACCAGGTTGGTGTCGACCAACACCGCCATCACAGAATCCCTCAACTCGCCTCTCATGCAGACACAACAACTAAAACACACAAACAAACCACACACAACAATATCCAGCAATCCAAATCAATCAAAATACACATCATAATGGTATAACATGCCCATATCAGCTATGGTCACGTACTCACCTTGACATGGATTGAATGAAAGAGAAAAAGAGAAGAAGAATAATCCAACAACCTCTCTTCACACCTCAACCTCGAACTTAACCTTCCCCTTGCTAGAACTCACAAGAATCAGCCACATAAGCATTTAGAAACCCTCACAAGCCTCTCTTTAACACAAGATCTCTCTCTCTCTTTCTCTTAGCTTTTCAGAAGCGAAAAAATGAAAAAGTTAAGCAAAAAAGTTGTCCACGAGGTTTAAAGTCGTCGTTAGGGTTTCTAATAGTCCTGGGTATAATATCTGGTACCGAAGAGCCATACCGGAACTGATAAGCGGTATCGGGTAGGCTTCTGGTTAAGCAGAATACTGAATGGGATAAGACGGCTTGGTAAAATGGACTTTGGTCCGGGTTCAGTTTGTAACTTAAGTTAAATGGGTCACCGTTTTATACCCGTTTAAACCTAAACGCCTAATAAGGCTTTGACCTACTAAGCCTTAGATGGCGGTAATTATTCCTAAAACCTAAGTCGCCTAACCCTATTGCGTAGACAGCTGCTATCTCGTGTGGTTCCAAGAGAGAACCGTTTATCAAAGCTTACTTTTCGGTTTGTCACTTCGTCTTCTACACGAGATGAGGCATGCTTTTTCTTTCCGCAATCATTCAAGTAAAATTTTCGATTCATATTCTCTTGGTACCTTTCCTCCATTCCGAGAACCAAAGCGTTATATAAACCCCTAATCCCCCATGGAAAGAACCATAAGTTTCAACCATCCATCATCTCCTCAATCATTTCCTCCATCATCTCCTCAATCGTCTCCTCCATCATCTCCTCGTTCACTACTCTCTACAATTAAATCACAGATTTGTCCCTAGTCTTACTAAATCATGTAATTCTATTATGTCTTAGGCTGTTCTTAATAGCTTTTAGATGAGAATTGATAGTTGGTTTTGGTACAGAAAATTACAGTGACGAATTGATAGTGTAATACGATCATTTGATAGCTTTTACTCTTTTATTTGACAATTTATAGTTGGTAACACTGTTACGGTCGCTTTTATTTGATAGCTTTTAGACGAATTGATAGTGTAATATAGATTTGATAGCTTTTAGTTGATAGTTTGTTACATGGAATATATTTGCTTGATCCTAGTTGTGTCTATCTTAATTTTAAAACTCTATCCACTATGAGATTGATTGAATATGTTAAGGTCATTTTACGTATTCTTTCTATTTATTATGATCTTATATGTGTTATGATCTATGATGATCTTATATGTGTTCTTCTCTTATATATTGATTTGTTTCTTTTATGTGTGTGTTCAGATGAGTTATTCATGCTTTCAAAAATTACAACGATTTTGAAGAAGATATGAATCATGAAGCAGATCAGAATCATGAAGAAGAGCAAGACATTAACTGTACTGGACAACAAGCTGCTGTAACTACAAAAGTTTTAGAAACTCCTGATTGTTCTGGAAAGAGGAAGGATATTCCAGAATCAAGTGTAGCTAATGCAAAGCCAGCTAAGGAGTTCAAAGTCATACTTTCAAGATCTCCTGTTTGGGACCACTTCACAAGGAATAAAGAAGATAGAAACAAGTGTATCTGCCACTACTACAAGAAGGAATACTGCCGCAAGTATAAGTCAGGGACTTCTAATTTGACAATGCATATGGCTACCTGCAATCAGTACCAAGCCTATAAGGAAAACAAGTCTCAGCAAGTGATCAAAGGTAATGGAACAGTGCAATCTGGAAAGATAAGTGAGCCATTGTTCAGAGAGGCAACAAATGAGATGCTCGTGTTAGGGGAGTTGCCTCTGTCTTTTGTGGACAATGTTGCCTGGAGACACTTCTCCTCTCATGCCAACCTCTATCGGCCTCATACAAAGAGAACAGCAAGCAGAGACATAGTGCATATGTATGTGAAGAAGAAAGCTTTGATGAAGAATTGGAATAATTCAAACAAGCAAAGGGTGTCCCTAACTATAGACATATGGTTGCTCCAAATACAGGTTTGTTTGCTGTTTCTATATTATTTGATTGATTGATACTTTAATTATATTCTCATATCTGATTATTATTTGATATGTACATTATGTAAAACAAGTGCAAGCTACCTGGTGATCACAACTCACTTCATTGATGCATTTTGGCTGCTGAAGAAACTGATCATAGGCTTCAAGTATGTCTCAAATCACAAAGCATCAACAATTGCAACTACTCTTCTAGATTGTCTAGCTGAATGGGGGATTCAGAAGGTGTTTGCTATCATTGTCGACATTGCAACAACCAACACTTTGGCATTAAAGATGTTTCATAGAGAGTTGAGCTTGGTTAGTAATGAAGCATTTTTCTTTGATGGAGACTATATGCATGTCAGATGCAGTGCTCACATCATCAACTTGATTGTGAGAGATGGTTTGCAGGAGTTAGGAAAGAATGTGAAGGCTATACGCAATGGTGTTTCATATGTTAGGTCATCTCATGTTAGGCAGAAGTCATTTAAGCTGAGGGTTGATTCAGGGAAGCTGAAAAGAGGAAGTCTCACATTGGATGTCAAGACCATATGGAATTCAACATATACAATGTTGACAAATGCCGTGAAGTACAAATTTTCTTTTGTCAAGATGCTTCTAGAAGATAGGTTGTTCCACGACTACTTTCAAGAATTAGACAATGGGAACAGACGTGTTGGACCTCCTGAATCAACTGAATGGAATGCTATTGAAAGGTAATCTACTAGACCTATCATTATACTGACATGTTTCTTGCACTAAACTAATGTTTACACTTATTTACACTTTCATGTTTTTGTCATAGGTTGGTGAAGTTTTTGGTGATTTTCTACAACTCCACTTTGGTTGTCTCTGCTTCCACCAACTTGCATGCGCATAAGTGTTATGGTGAGATTGTTACAATAGAGAGGAACCACTCATTCCTGAGTAGTAGCCCAGATGATGAACTGAAGAACAAGGCTGATGAAATGCTGAAGAAGTTTGTAAAGTATTGGGATGGAATGAAGAATAACAACAAGATGCTGATCATTGCAACTGTGTTTGATCCAACAAAAAAGATGAGTTTGCCAAGATTTGTTTTGAGAAGTTGTATGGTGAAGATACTATTGACTCCATAGCTATGCTTGATTCAGTTTTCTATGTTCTTGACTCAATGTATAAGGAGTATGCTGCTCTTTACAGCCCTAGAAATTGTGCATCTTCTCAGACTACCAGGGCTAAACAACATCACTCAACTCAGATTCGTGAGAAGATGGATTTGGTTGATGATTTGGGCTATAAGAGAATGGATATGGCGTATAAAGAGATGGTTGCTGACAAAGCAGATGAAGAAGTAAGGCGTGAGTTAAAGATTTATCTCACATATCCTGTTGAGAATCCAAAGCTTATTAGGGGTACAGAATTAGATGTGCTGTCTTGGTGGAGAGTGAATTCTTTCAAGTATCCTGTCTTGGCTGAGATGGTTAAAGATGTACTTGCTATGCAAGTTTCATCTGTTGCATCAGAGAGTGCTTTTAGCACTAGTGGTCGGATTTTAGACCCTCATAGGTCCTGTCTGACTCATTACATGATCGAGGTCCTCATGTGTACTGAGCAATGGATGAGGCAAGATATCAAGAGTGGTGCTGACCCGACAGTGATCACAAGTGCTCAACTGCTCTCAGAGTTTGAAATGTTTGATCAGCTTGAAAAAGGTAATCTTTAACAAATTTTGATATTCATAAATGATAGTAATTTGTTTTATAATTCTTTCTCTAATTTAACTTTAAAACTGATTTGCAGAGTTTGGTATTGGAGATGAAAATAATCTTGAGGCTTAGCTATTCTCATAAAAGAAAAGGTAATTAATCTCCTCTATTTGTTAGTGTCTAACAAGTTTTCGCTAGTTTGATATTTGGTACAATATTAATAGTAGTTCACTGTTGTGTGGTGATTTTTAAGGCATAGATTCGGCAATAGTAAAGGTATATTGAAACTTAAATGTCTTTAGGTGTATAAGTTTATCACTCTCTCTCTGTGTGTTACTTTGTTGAATCATTCAAGTTTCATTTGTTTCAAAGGAACATGGAGCAGCAAAGACCTTTTTGTTAGTGTGGATGCTTCTTCATTGTTCTCAATTTTCATCGGCTATTTAAACTTGTTCTATCTTTTGTTTTAAGTTGGTTGTGAGATTATTGAACTTAATGTTATGGTATTTTGTTGTGTTATGGTGAAACTTAATGTATGGTTTACTCGGTTATTTCTGATTATTTACTTGGGTATTTCTAAATTTAATCGGGTAATCTTGGGTTTTAATCGGTTATTTTAGTACTTTTTCACTCAGATAAACATAACCGATTATAACCCGAAAATATTTTGGGTTAATGCAGATTTCGTATTAGAGTAGAAAACCGCTCCGAACCCGGCCAGTTACTTACCGTACTAAACCAATTTTTTTGTAAATTACCGAATGGGATCTATAGGTCTTATACCGATTTATCCAAAACTCGAATGGGTAGAACCGAAACCCGATTAGCTACCCGATTGCCCATGACTAGTTTCTAATCAAATTTAACCAGACCGATCAGTTACAAAATTGAACATGTTAACTGTCCAAATAACTGCCGTCGATCGACAGCCTTCCTTAGTGTCGATCAACACTCGTCCAATACACGGACACATGCGTTACAAAGATCTAACCCAAAATATTTTCATTTTTTAAAGACATAACATCTAATCTTCAACTCTTAGATTCAACGGTGTGAGATTTGGCTCCCAAACTTGTCTCGTTGTTTTGTTATCCCTCATATTTTTCTTAGCTCCTTATTACTTAGCATATTAAGTGATCTCGTACCAGTCATATATTTTATTTGCTATCACTTTCAAATGAAAAACTAGTATCAAACCTTCATATCGACATACTCGTACTGGTATCGACATACTCGTACTGGTCTCTATTCCATTTTGACAAAACATTACGATTTCATTTGGTTGGAAAACGAGAATTTACAAACCGTTTAGATGAAAATGTATGTATTTTTTACATATCTCACTGAAATACCTCAAAGGACATCAAAATTTTAACAAGTGACTTGCTAAGCAGATTGAATTCATTGGAACCTTTCCATATGGGATCAAATACAACAAATGTATGGATAATTTAGTTGTTGATGCATTGTCAAGGAGGTATGTTCTACTTAAACTCTTTATGCCAAACTACTTAAATTTCAGTATGTCACTGATCAAGATTTTAGTAAGATTTTTGCTTCTTGTGAGAATTTTTCATTTGGAAAATATTATAGACATGCAAGTTTCCTATTGTATTATAATCGCTTGTGTATTCTTAACTCGTCTTTGAGATAATTGTTTCTATAGGAAGAACATTTCCATTGGGACATTTCAGAGTGGCTAAAATTGTTAAAGTTATGCAATCCTATTTCCATTGGCCTAAAATGAAACAGAACGTCAAGAAGTGTTGTAAAAAATGTACAACATGTAAAATGGCTAAGGCAAAGTCACAGCCCCACGGTTTATATACCCCATTTTTACTTATTTCTTTGCATCCATGGCATGTCGTCTCTACGAATTTTGATGGTTATTTGCCTATGACTAGAACTAGTAAGGGTTCTTTGTTTGTGGTTGTGGATAGATTTTCTTAAATGACACGTTTTATTCTTAGTCATGAAGCTGATGATGCCATGAATGTTGCTAGCATTTCTTTAAAGGAATGGTGCGTTTACATGGTATGCCTGAGTCCACAGTCTCATAAGTTTTTGTTTCTATACACAAATAATTAAATAACATACAACGCTAAGGTAACTAAATAAAATCACACTTAATCTTTGTAAAAATGACAGACTGTCAAAGACTAGATACAACTATTTCACTTATGTCCACATATAACATTTATTGTACGTTGACCGTCTTTAATGTTAAAAGTGGATGACTCCAAATACACAATGAAAAAAGAGAAACAAAGTAGCATTTTATTAAAACAAATTTATATCATTTTTTGCTTATATACACAAATAATATGTAACAACAAGGTTATTAAGTACAAATCACATTATTGTATGTAAAAATGACAGTCTGTCAAATACAAAATATAGCAGTTTGACTTTGGTCCACATTTAACATTTATTATGTAGAAATCACTTTATAAAGAAAGAAATCTAATCTTTTAGTGTATGTGAATTGACAAATGTACAAAGTAATAAATATAATGACAGTTATGTAAAATAAATAATAAGAAAATATGAAATCTATATATATATGTGCACTAAGCTGATAATGAATTGATTATAAGAAGTTAGCTCCATTCTTTTTGTTGTGATAGAGAAAGAAAAAGAGTTTACTTAGCAAATGGCAAGTCTGTGACTTATTATGAATGATTAGGATTCTTACCTCTAAGCTTAGTTATATATATTTTGAATCTAACTTTTTTGTTCTGTTTCCTGTCAGGCTGACTTGAGAAACTGTGAGACAATGCTAAACAAAATTATGATTCCTCTACCAGATTTGCTTGTAAGTTTGGTTGATCATTTTGTACTGAATATAATAATGAAAGTTCTATAAAGCGTTCTACGCGTCTGTCTGCGTCCTGCCTAGGCGTTAGGCGCTAGGCGCTTCTGGGACGCTTAGATTACCGCTTTGACCGCATAAAGTTGTAGTTTACATTTCATCTATAATATTATATATATAATTGTTTATGGTTTAAAAACCTAAACCATCTAAAATCGCCTAGATTTTGATTAGGTGTTCTAGGCGCTAGACGGGTCACCGTCTACTTAACTAGCACCTAGTGCTTTGTTAGACACTGTATTTACATATCTTTATGTAACAATAACATTTTGCATCACTTATACACTATGTTTACATATCTACCAACTAAAATGTTCAAATATCATTTGTTTTCTCCTTTTGTGTAATCGTAGAACACAGTTCTAGCTTTGGATGTTTCAGCTATGGATATTGACCAGGTTGAAAATCTAATAAAATTTTGTGAAAGCAAGGAAGAAATAGAAAAGTTGAAGGTACCTCTTAAAAGCATATTGTCGCACATCTCACTCAACTACTCTAAAATCTGAAGCTGACTAATGTTGTATTTTTAGAATTGTGCTGGTGGTGACAGGGAAATGCTTGGAAAGTGTGAGGAGGTCTGCTCCACTTCTTAAAACCTTGGATGATACTTGATCATTGTATATGGTTTGACTTTAAATTTTGCAAATGTTGAAGGTTTTCGCGGAACTAATGAAGGTTCCACGTATAGAAGCAAAATTACGAGTGCTTGGTTTCAAGATTGCCTGTGTTTCTAAGGTAGAAATGTCAAATTCTCTTATTCTTAAGTCATGCAGTGTTGTAATTGATGTTTTTGATTTTGATTTTTTAGGTGCAGGACTTAAGAAGGTGTCTGAATACTATAATCAATGCTACTAAAGAGGTATGTATATATGGTGGTGGATGAAATCTTCTGTGTCATTGTAATATAGGTATCTCCATCTTGGTAATTAAATAACTATCATATTTCATGTATTAGATGAATGAATCTGCAAAGCTGCATCAGATTATGCAAACAATTTCAACACATGAAAATCTAGGTATGAGGTATCATATATGGTTTTCCAATTTCATAAAATTGATATTTGGTAGCATTTCTTGGTTGATGTATTAAGACCTTGTGTGTTGCAGCTTCTTCTGTGGGTTCTGAAGTGGATAGTCTTGTTAAAGTATCTGATAATATGGCTTTGATGCATGAATTGTGCAAGGTAGATATTATCTCTGTATCATATGGTTAATGTGGTCATTACGAAAGGTGCTTATGCTTTATTTTCTTCTTACTGGTTTAGCTTGTTGGTGAAAGCATGCCGGAATTGCTGGATTTTGGCAATGACCTTGTTCATTTAGAAGCTGCATCGAAGGTACGCTTGTTGTTGTAACTCATGTTTGCTTCTTTTGCTAGGGGCCTGTTCGTTTGGTCGCCGCATGCGGTTGTAGCAGCCGTACCGGTTGCGACGAATGCAACTTTTTTTGGCTGCTAAATCAAATCGACGTTCAAAATTTTTAATCGCAGAATGTTTCGTTCGCCGCCGCCGCAGATACATGCGGCGACGAAACGAACATGCACCTAATTCCCACTTGTCTTTAATGTTGGTGAAAATTACAGATTGAATTGAAATCGGTTGTGGAGAAGATGGAAGCATTTGTCCACGTCCTTAATGAGGTGAAAGAGGAGTATATGGCTTCAGAAAATGATGGTGCAATCTCTATGGGCTTCCGATATGTAAGCCACATGAATGTGTAGTAAAGATAACCGCATGATCAGAGCCAAGAACAAGTCTTTTTTTGCTGTTTTTAATTAGATGTTCATGTGTTTTAGGCGACCTATGATTTTCTTCATCCACTTGAATACGAAGCGATGTGGGTTGATACCTTATACGAAGAAGCGGTGAGCTATATAATTTTCCGATTAGACCTGTATGGACATGTATCATGTTTTAAAGCCTATAAGTAACTCATTTTAATTTACAGACAAGAATTATAGATTCCTACTTAGCTAAGTTTCCAGCTCGCTATACCATCGAGGAAGGTACCATCACAACTTTGTCCTTCTACTGTCTTATCAAATCTTTTGTGGTTCTCATTTCTGTTCTGGCCATTGTCCCTTTATGCAGTGACCAAGACGGTGAACAATTTCATGAAAACGTTCATCAAGTGTCGTCGCAAGAAGATTGAAAGGCAAGCCAAGGGTAAGAAGAAGATAACGGAGAAAGAAACAATGAACATCGAACAAAACAAGCACCTCTGAGGAGCTGTGAATCTTAGACCCATTGAGAACTTCTATGCTGCTTAGAACTATCTATGATCTCTTCACCAATCATGTTTATGTCTTAAAAAGTATTTGAAGTTTTTTACAACTTAAAGTTACATTATCTTAACTTATTTTGCTAATAATAAATCATGTTTCTTCTAGCAAGAATATAGCTTTACACTTAACATGTCTGCCTATCGCTACCAAACTCTACAAATAAAGATCTATGTCACTATGTGGCCAATGCCATAAAATATGGTTCTTACCACAATGAAGCGAACATGCAAGCAAAAGAGGGAAAACTCAAAATCAAAGAAAATTTGGGATTTTATAAACAGAAACATTATTAGGTAGATATCATGAGCTGAAATAGAAACCATCCAAACCATAAGAACCACATAGACTGTTTATTTATCCCATATATTAGACATCGAAGATACAAAGCCAAGAGATAATTTTCGACAGCGAAGGCACAAAACCAAGAGAGACAACTAAGACACTCATCTACGACTCAAGAGCGCAAAGAAGCAGTTAAAAAAGACGTTATCTCAACACAAGGGTTAAGTTTTGGTGTTTCATCCTAGGCCTTGAACCCTTGCATCTCCGACTCACGCCGGTATTAGATGGATTGCTACTACTCCCGAGCTCGTTTAGAACCAGCTTTTCTGGTTCTGACTTGAGGAGGTAACACTTTGTGTGGGACAGATAAGGGAATAGGCAAATGAAGTTTACTCCCAGAAGCCAAAGCAGGGAACCCAACAGCAGGGATTCCAACAAGAGCACAGCAGACTCCTGCCTTGACATCATGGGAATATTATTACCACTACCCTTTTGCAAACAATACCGCAGAGACTGGTTTTCGGCAACGAAGCATTCAAGCATCCGTCCTAGTCTCAAACATTCTCTCTCGAGATACTTACTCTTCTTCTCTAAATCTTGCACGTATTCCTTCTTCCTCTCCCTCGATCGAACCGCCGCATCTCTATTTCTTACTCTCCTGAACCACAATCACACATCCCAAAATTTAACTCTCACATTCTTCTAAAGACGTAAACACGTTTTTAACAATCTATAAAGCCAACCAAATCCATATGAACAAACAAGCTAATCACATAACTCATGATCAACTCTTTAATCTCACACATAATTACATACATACATACATACAATTTGCTCATGAATTTGAACTCTTAAAACAACATAACGAATGAGTTATATAATACACTCTAAACATTCTCATCATCATCTCTTCAATGTCACATATACGTATCTAAGCTTTGTTCTCAATCTAAAGGCAATCAATACAAAACACACAAATCCAAAATCAATACTAAAACCCTATTTTTTCAAAGTACTTTCGAAAAGAGTAAATTAGATATACCTTCTTCTTTTCTTAGCCCCAGCATCATCATCGTCTCCTTCTTCATCATCATCCTGAACCTCACTCCCAGAATCATTAGACTTCTTCTCAACAACCAGATCTGCACTCTCCTTCCCAGAATCATCAGATCCTACTGTTTCTTTCCCGGCGGAATCATCAGATCCTTCTGTTTCTTTCCCGGCGGTGGCTTGTTCCGTCGTCAAATCAACTGGATAATCAACGAGTAAATCAGCTATGAACTCCGAAATCGATCCCTGATCCAACTCCGCAAGACTCTCCTCCTCTTGATTCTCATCACTCATCAATTTACTCTCAATCTCTCCGATCCACGAATCTGGTGAAGACCTAACAAAATCCTCCTCCGCCGGTGGAGAATCTATGACGATTGAAGGATCGAAATCGAAGAAGAGATCATCATCAAAGAGTAAATCGAAGCTATCAAACTCCTCCGCCATGATCGAGAGAAAAAAAAAAACTAAAATTATACAAAAAAACCAAAAAAAAAAGAAAAAAATTATAATTAAGATATTAAGAGAGATAGAGTTATATAAGGTGGACTGTGTTTTTCTGAGTCGTTTTAGTCTGCATTCCTTTGTGACCAAGTAAACGTAGTCAACAGTACACGTGTTAGTCATGGACGCGTTTTTTTTAACTTTTAGCCAATAAGGTGATGTAGTGTACTGTATTATAATGTTTCTGTTAACAGAGAATAATTATTTTTCTGTCTCGTCACGCATCCAATGAAAAGGCTTCAATTAGAATCATGAACATATATGGCTTTCGTCCAAAAAAAATATTTTATTAAATCAAAAATCATAATTCATATAAATTGATACTAGTTAGACTAATGATCTATCTTATCTTATCTTTTATCTATATATATAAAGTTACTTTTCCTCTCTTCTCATTTCACCACGTCAGCGCCACATCATACACCATATCATCATTTTTCTTTTACTGAATCCAAAAGAATTCACATCCCGCGCAAGGAAAATGGACGCTCTGACTTCCTTGCGAAGAAAGCAAGAGGTCGTGGAATGCTTTTCGCCTTTACAAATACATCGACTCCTTCGTGGCTTTCTCTAGAGGAAAGCATGTTTCCGAGACACTTGTAATTTTAGTTTGTTTAATGACAAAAAAAAAAAAAAAAAAAAATCCAAAAGAATATGGGCTTGAGGTCCAACACTTTCACAACAATCAAAATAAAAATCTAAAAAAAAAAGGGCATGATGTCCAACACATAACAATCAAACCGGTTAAAATACATAAAACGTGGGATATACGAGTTTGGAACTGTATGATTAAACGAAACAGGGAAAATATTTTCTAGAACCATTGTTTACAAGAGCGATAAATCTGCAACAACGATACCGATTTCAAAATCATTGGCCGGAATACACGGGTTTGAACGTAGGAAAAAACGGAAAACAAGCCAGATCATAGAATATATCAAGCCCAGACACCGGAAACTTTATCTCTCTAATCACATACTTAGTAAAAAGAGAGAATATCGCATAAACTTTCCATCGACCTCTGACGAATACCAAATGATGATAAACATTTCAAATACTAAATTACTATAAAATTGAAAAAATAATCGATATGAAAAATAGAATAACAAAAAATAACAACAGTAAAAAGCCAACAAAACAAACAATGCAAAACAAAAAAACAACGAAAAATTATAATATAACTAAAAATAAAATAAAAATTTTATAAACCTTCCGCGCGTAGCGCGGGTCAACAACTAGTTTATATATAAAAAGTTAGCTTTGCTCTTTTTTCCTTCAGCCACATCATCTGCCACGTCATCCGTCACATCATCCATTATCTTTTTTTCTTAACTATAATGTAAATATAATAAAAACTAAAATTAAGCAAAATTTGGGTAAACAAATCCATAAAATCATGAACTTGTGCTAATGTTTCTTTAGTGTCCGTGACGATATGATATTGCGAATTCCGCGGTCAATCAACTGAAAAAAAAGACAAACGCTCGGAGTTATACAAGACGTTTTTGCGCTGCCGTCAAATGATGTAGACTTTCTTTTGAGGTGTTAGTTTCTGGAGGAGAGCAAGGACTATTGAAAAAGAGAGTCGAGTCCAGGAGAGTAATTTGACGACGAGGCGAAAAGTCACTGTCAAGGGCAGAGCCTAGAAAAGACCAACATCCAAAGCTCGACAGAAAAAACAGAAAAAAGGAAAAGATATGTTACTGCTGACTTATTGACAAAAGATTTATTGCTAATATAGTTTCCAGTTACGGCTAACTTATTTAACGTTACGGCTGAATTTGACATCTTAAAAAACATTTTAGTAATTACTTAAATATTTTTCATGTTGTGGCTGATTTAAGTTGTGTTGATGACTGATTTATTTTGGTTGAGTTAAAAATTTGTTTGGTGGCTGACTTGCGACTTCAAATACACAATTCCACGTCATCATTCCATGTCATCATAAACGAGGGATATACGAAAGGTCGCCCTCTTCAACATGAGATTTTCCTTCTTTTTACACTTTTTTTTTTCACCTGAGTTCTTCACTTGTACTTCACCTGAGTTCTTCTTCATTTACGTTGATGGATCTGGTTCTAGTAATTGTTGTTTATGGTAATTGGGTAAAAAACACAAATATGTATTTAACGCCGACGATAGAGGGTGTAGAGTTGTGCAGATAGATGTTGAAAGAACACACGGAAAGCTTGTGAAGTTGGTTCTCGATGACTACAGATTGAATGAGTTGAGCCATCATGTAACGATGAGCTACATGTTATCGTTACAATAATTCAGCCAAACCTCGAAATGGTCTGTGTAAGTCAACCATGACGCTGGCATAACTCAGCCAAACCATAAATTTACTTACGTGAAGTCAGCTATGTCGTTTGAATAACTCATCCAAACCTCGAATTATTCTACAATAAATCAACCATGTCGTTGGTATAACTCGGCCAAACCTCAAATATGGTAGATGTGAATATTTGATGCACTCATGTAATAATAACACTTTAATAATATGTAGTTAACACTTTTATTAACTTTCAATAAAAAATCATGAAATTCGCTCAGGTTTGTACCTTTTAAAACTTATCCAACAAAACGATAAACCCCAAACCCTATACTTATGTTCTATTCCTACACAGTTGATCAAATATAGAATGTAAAAGAGCTGTTATTGATTTTTTTTTAATTGTATTATAATATATTTAATCTCTACATTATTATAATCAGTGCTAATGTTAACATTCAAGTGTCCCTTTAAATTAAAGTTTTAGTCATTAGTCAACCTTGAAAAGTAAATAACTCAGCTGTGACGTATTATTCTATATTCAGACACAAAACTTTGAATTATTTTGTTTAAAAAATTTGAATTCAAATTTTGAATTATTTTGAATATATTTGTTTTTTAAACATAATACTCTATGACTTTATTATGCATGTGCGTGTGAATATGTGTACGTAATTATTGTTGGTCTTTCCCAAAAACTACTTTTTGTAATCTCGAGAATGTATATCACAACTCATCTGTAATGTAGCATAACTCAGCCGCAATGTAGCATAACTCAGCCGTGACTTATTATTCTATATTTAGATACGGCATAACTTAGACCAAAAGTTGAAAACGACGTTTCATATTTCCCTTTTGTTTTTTCATCGGAAAATGAAAAGTCTCCAGCCGAGTTGAAACGAAAGGCGATTGCAATGACGATGAGAGAGAGAGAGACTTGTCGGTATGAGTCGAAGCGGACGAAAGAGATGAGAGAGAGAAGCGGCGAGAATTAGGGTTCTTCGCCGGAATCGCTGAGGTAGAGATATTTTTTCCTGTACGTGAACAATTACAAAAAAAAACCACAACTCAGCCGTAACTTACAATAAGTCATAATATAACTCAGCCGTAATGTACCATAAGTCAGCCGCAATGTGTCATAACTCAGCCATAAACGACGTTTCGTATTTCCCTGTTTTTTTTGTCGGAAAACGAAAAGTCTCCATCCAAGTTGAGAAGAAATGCGACAACAATAACGACGAGAAAGAGAGAGACACATTGATAATAGGATAAGCGGCCGGAAGAAACGAAAAAGAAAAGAGGCGAGAGTTAGGGTTCTTCGTTGGTTAGGTGAGAGAAAAAAACAGGTTTTTTTTTTGTTTGTGAATAGTGACGAAAATGTTTAGTTTCTTCCTCTTTTATCATTAAAGACAGAATAATGATGTGGCAATTTTAGGTATGACGTGACATGTCGGATCTGACGTGACAATTTTTAAGTGAAAACAGACCAAGGGTGTTTATTGTAATTACACCCAGCTCACTAAACATCTAAGAAATAAAAAAAATGTGGCTGTTTAGGGAATAAACCTACTTTTATGGTCTATCTAAGTAATTATCCCCCATGGATAATGAGAAAGATCAACACATCATGTTGGCTAAAGAAGCGAAACAAGGAGTTGCGCCCAAGGTAAGTAACACTCTTACCCATTTTGTTTCCAATGATTTTAAGGTTTTGTTACTAGAATTTATGAGGTCTGAACAAGTTGAGGAAAATATAGGTCCCTTAGGGAAACTTGAGAATCAAATTTCTTGTATTAAGTCGCAAAATAAAGTAAAACAAGAAATTGTTAGAACTCAAGAAACGAAAATGGTCCCAACTGATTTTCCTGATTATAATAATTTCATGACTGCTATAACACACTTACTTCTTGTCAAAAGTGTTGATTTTATTACAGGTACAATGGAAGACCCCAAAGGTGATTTATCAAAATATAAGAAGTTCACGGACCATAGCCAATGCCATGAGGAGTACACGCCTTTGCTAATCAAACCAGAAGATGATGGATATGGAAGTGTCAATGAAACTATGATGATCAAATAAGAGCCACCAGATTCATCAAAACATTCATTGATGATTCAAGACCGAGGTAACAATCTAAACTCTCATAAGCGAATGAAACCTAACTTGCTTTCTCTTGGTGCAGGTCAAGTAGTTTTGAGGTCAAATTTTTTTGAAGAGGGAGGGTATGATGAGGTCATCAGAACCAAACAAGACCTGGAATGCCATTCACTAAACTCGATGATCGTATCTTCTCTCTGCTCCAAAATATCCTCCAGAAGCTCAAAATCCTTAACAAATCTCAAAATCTCTCACTTGTCCTTCATTAACAACTGAGATCTACTTTTTCGTTTTAGGTTAGCACTAACTAAACTAAAAGCTTCACATTATCCTATGGGTAAAAGCTTCACTTTGTCCACAATAAATGCGCACTGCACCCTGCAGTAAATTCTGTCTAATCGTACTATGTTTGAACGCCGCGCGAAATCTCTGCCCAAGGCCGGAGGGTAGTATCGTCCTTTCAACTCGCCATTGTGGCACTCCATAAAATACCTGGGCCAAACTGGCAGTTTTGATTATTTGGGCCTTGAAACTGGCAGTTTCGATATTATTTCCTATTAATAACTAATTTAGATAGTAAGGGTAAAATTAGAATATTTTTTAGTTTGAAATCGTGTGTATGAATTTACTAAAACTGAAATATAGGAAGATTTTTATAACAAAATGAAAATATATTTTTTTAATTTTAATTGAAAAATATAGGTATTAAGCGTCCAAAAAAATAATAGATGGCGAATATTTAGGTATAATACAAAACATAATATTTATTGGTGTAGTTAAAGTATTATCATTATTTATTAATTAAAAATTAAAAATAAGAATTTTATTTTCTTATTCCGTTAATCAAAAATCAAGATTTTATTAGAATATTGCATAACTAAATATATTTATTTAGTTGGAAGATCCAAATGTATTTTGGCGGAATTTCAAAAATATCCCTTTTCATATACCTCTTTTTAGAAATACCCTTTTTCAAACTTTATCAAAAACCATTAAAAGTTTTGAAATTTATCCAAATATGTGTGTAAGCTGATAAATATATAGACAAATTACCTTTGGATGTGTTAAGATTTTATATATCTTTCATAAAGAGCGTAAAATAACTTATAAAAACGTTTTAAAAACTTTTTAAATTATATACCCTTTTAAAAACCTTTATAAACTTATCAAAACGATTTAAAACCATTTAAAACATTTTAGAATATTTGTATCAAATCTCTCAGTAGTAGTTATTATATAGAAGTACCTTATAAACTATATAAAACTTTATAATTTTTAATATTTAAACAGGGGCAGTTTTGAAAATGGATAGATAAATGGGATATTTTTAAAAAGTGACACACCAAAAGGGATATTTCTTAAAAATTCTCATGTATTTGTCATCAATATCATATTACCCTAATTGATTTCTAATTCTTATTCTAAAACCAATAATTTAGGGGCAATTATAGAATTAGATTCATAATTTTTCAATGTTATAATTTTTACTTCTGTTTTAATATCATAAAGATGTGAAATTCGTTACTAAAAATTCATCATAAAACCTAGTAATTTTAAACTATCGATCAACAAAAAATTTACGAGCTATTCACCATTATTAATAAAGCTGCTAAAACATTTAAAACGTTATTTAGCAACTATCCCCTAGGTATGATTATACCAATATTCTAAAAATGTTATTTCCTAATTTCCAATACATTTTTTAAAAACTTGCATATATTTTTCATTACTCAGTTTATCGTATTTCTGAAAATGAATTAATTATTACTTAAATATGATGTAACGTTTTTACAAATTAACATCAATCCAAAAGATAAATAAAGAAAATTATATGAGAATTTTCTTTTCTTAACAACCATAAATTTTATTATGTCATAAAGGTTGACAAAAATATGAGATCAGCCATGAATGTAGAACGTAGAAAGTTTGATACAATAATGTCATACATCGATCTGTAGCATTGGTCTTGAGCCCATGTCAACTGACGTTAAGAAAAAAAAAGCCTCTACTTGGAGAGCAAAGTCAAAGCATTTAAGTTTTTCACAACCCATGTAAGAATGATTTGACCTACAAAGTCTATAATGATTCAACATATACTTTTGTATAAACTCCCATGAACCAAAGTACTGTCGTAGTTGCACTTGAGCCATCCCAGATGGGAGAAGATTCTATTGACTGTTGCGATTCCAAACTAGGTAACTTCGATGAAACTGTTATGACCCACATCTTTGGTTTGAGTTTTCACTGCTTCAATCCACTCAAATACATCAGGAGCATCTTTACTTATCCACAATCAAGGCTGCGAGTAACTTTCTGAACAAGATAAATATTTTTGAATTCCATATACGCCGCATCATTCAGATTGGAAGTACTTTATGTTGAAGGGGATGCGAAGAATTCTTAAGTAAATTGAGTAGATACAAGCGTTGTCCTCAAAACTATATAAAAAATGTGTCAGACAATATGAGTTTAGGCCATTTGCCAAATTTCTTGAGCAAAAGAACAAGTAAAAATTAGATGATTAATGGTTTCTTCTTCCAAACAACATCTCTGGAATTGCGCTTGTTTAGAGTTAAGTATTTTTCACTAAAGGTCCCATATAAGACTCGATAAATAGTGTTTAATCTTTGGAGCTATAGTGAGTTTCCAAAAATTTTGTTTTAAGGCCACTGACCGATTTGCTGGTAAAATAACATCTTCTGGTAAAATAACATCTTCTCCTAACAGTAGTTACATGAGTAACAACCCAATATCCCAAAATGAAATAAATACTAAGCATTTATGGTGCAGTCTCATTCATAAGAATCAAACACTGCATATTTAAAGAGATGAATTTCAGACACCAACTATTGACCCTCCAGAGTAAGAGCACCTTCAAAAATAACTAGATCCCATTCCTTTTTATTTTCAAACCATATATTTAAGAAGGTTAATTATTTTTGGATTATTTACCAAAATTGAAGTAATGTATTGTTTTTTGGTATAAACAAGGGGTATTACATAAATAAATAACTCTAAAGCACCTAAATGCAAAAATAGTGTAACCACATGCATCTAATTATTTACAACATCAAATTGAATAAAATTGGCTATCTACATGTATTCTTGCAGATTTTTGTTTTCTTGCGGGAAAATCGCGGATTTACTTATTTTTTTGCAGTAAAACTGCAGATTTGTTGTTTGGCCAGGAAAATTGTAGCTTAACATTTTTATAGAAAAACTGCGGATTTATGTTTTTTTGCGGGAAAACTGCGGGTTTAATATTGGGGGAAAAATTGTGGTTAACGTTACAGATTTATATTTCTTTGCGGGAAAGTTGTGGGTTTACATTTTGGAAAGGAAAACTGCGGGTTTACATTGTTGGTGGAACAATTACGAATTTATGTTTTCTGCGGAAAAACAGGGGGTTTAACTTTTCAACGGAAAAATTACGGGTTTGCATATTTGATGAGCACATTTTTTATTTTTGGCGGAAAATGAAAAATTATGTTTCTATCTGAAAATATACAAATTTACTCTTTTGCGGAAAATTACAGATTACTTTGATATGATGATGATGTTGATGACAACGATGATGATGACGATAATGATGATGATGGTGGGGGTGATGATGAAGGTGATAGTGATGGTGATGGTGATGGTGATGGTGACAGTGATGGTGATGCTGATGATGATGATGGTGATGGTGATCATTATGGTGATGATAATGATGTTATGCGATGAGGATGATGATATGTTATGATGATGATGATGATGATGATGGTATATATGATGGTGATGATGATGTTATGATGATGTGATGCAGTTCGTTAAAGTATTTAAGTTGGTTTAATTCAATTGAACAAGAATAATTGGATTACATGGTTAAACCATCAACCCATTACAATTCAATTCATTTGTTCCATTGAACCATTTGACTCAATACTCAACTGACTCATGAATTCAGTAGTGTCAAAAAATTAAAACTCACTATGGTTTATGGTTTGAGTTAAGTTGAGTCAATCCATGAACCTTGACCCATTTTGACACCCCAAATTCTAATTAAAAAAAACACAAATTAAATTGATGGTATATACAAAAAATTATCTTTTTCAAATAAAAATAGTGGTTTTGAGCTAAAATAAAAATTAGTGGATCTAAATGTAAAAGTACGATGATAATCTAGACTTATTTGTAAATAAAATTGGTAATATAAGGAACAAACCACCAAACGAAAAGAAAAACTTACATTTCGGTTTCAATATCTTCTTCCTATGGGGTCAGCTCGGCGATTTGACATTAAGAGAATGATCAATCCTCAACAGGGATCCATTGAACTCCATATGAGGGGTAATTTTTTGGAAATTGAAACCAATTTTTAGCAATGTTTAAATGTCTACTTCTCTTTTAATAATAAGATTATCTACTAATGATAAGTGTATTTTCTGAGAGCACGAAAATTATTTGATGATATAAGTATTTGACATAATACAACTTTTTTGACACGCGGCAAAAACAATAATTAGCATTATAATTAGTTTGACTAGTTTTGGATTACTTACTATAATTCATTTATTATATTTTTGTTTGGTAAAAATAAGGGGGATTCTACCTCAAGAAAACCAAATTAAATCGATGATTAATATATACAACAAATTATCTTTTTTTTTTTGACAAAACTAGAGGTATTGAGCAATACTATAAAATAATGAATCGAAATGTAAAATTATGGGAATAATCAGGACTCTTATGTAAATAAAGTGAGTAATATAGATAACAAACCGCCCTTAGTAAAAAAAAACCACACCTTTTTCCTTGTAAATCTATTTCATCATCTTCTTCTCTTCTTCTTCCTCCTCCTCCTCCTCTCTCTCTCTTTCTCTAAACCCCCACACTAAGTTGTGGTAGCTATATTCTACATATTCTCTATTTTTATTTATTTACCTGTTTTCATCTCTTTCTCATATTTAATTTTTGGTCTCGGACAAATCAGGAACCAAACAATGGTTGTTCCTCTGCTTCTTAATCTATTTTCTTCTTCTGCTTTTTCAGAGTTTTATAATTTCTGTTTTAGAGGATTTTTTTTTGTTTTGTTTTGTAGAAATTGATCCCATGGGTCTTTGTAATTTCAGGTGAGTTCTATAGTAAAAGTGGAGAGCGATGATGTGAGTATTCCACCATGGCTAACACCAATGCTTCGAGCTGACTACTTTGTGGCTTGTTCGATGCACGCAGAAACGAGTAAGAGAGAATGTAATCGATTTTGCTTGGATTGCTCAGGCAATGCCTTTTGCTTTTACTGTTGGGGTCATCACAAAGACCATCGAGTTATCCAGGTTCAGTTTCATCATAATCATCTCTGTGAGGAATTTTGCTGAACACATTTGTTTAACTAAACACAATAATAATGTTTATTGTGGTTGTAGATTCGACGATCGTCATATCATAATGTGGTGAAAGTGAGTGAGATTCAAAGACATATTGATATCTCTTGTATTCAGACATATGTTATTAACAGTTCAAAGATTTTCTTCTTGAACGTGAGACCTCAATTTCGAATTGGTAAAAGCTCGGACAAAACATGTCAGATTTGTTCTCGTACCCTCCTTGATTCGTTCCGTTTCTGTTCTCTTGCTTGCAAGGTAATGTGAAATTGTCTATGTTGAATTGTTTCAATTACATATTAACAAATGGTTTTGAGTTCTTCTAGTTAAATATGGAAATTGTAATTTTGGTCAATCATATTTTTTTGGGTGTTAAGATTACAAATCTGTATATACTAATGCTTTTGATTATGGTTTTTGATTGTTTCCTTGGTCTGAAATAGCTTGATGGCGTCAAGAATGGAGGTGATCCAAACCTGACCTTCTCTTTGATACGTAAGCTTGGTGATGACTCTTTAAACGTCCAAAATATCGGGATTTGTAATCGTTTGGTCAACAGAAGCTTGGTAGATGCCGATGGCCAACGTAGCGAAACCGCGGCTGTGATATCTCCTGGGACACCTTCGACAGACAGCAACCGGGATTACCCAAAGAAAAGGAGAAGAAAGGGCATACCTCACCGAGCACCTTTCTGAAAAGCTTTATTAAAAAGTTAAGGTATAATATGGAATATGTTAAAGTCTCAAAAGAAAGGAAAAAAATTGTTGGTAAATGGAATCTTATTATAAATTTTAGAAACCTTATCAGAACAATAAAAATTAAGATATAAATTTATGATTAAATCAGTCTTATTTACCTTATATTTTTCTCCTTTTTTGGCTTGATTGGTCTGGACTCAAACATATGTGATTTTTTAAATTTTCGACAGTGCTGGGCCGAACCAACCCGATTGACATGTTTATTTTTAACTAATATTTTTGCAGCATCATTTGATAGTAACAAAACTTTACATAATTTTATCTTTCTTTAATGATTTGGGAAATCTATATTATTAAAGTAAAGGCGATTTAACCCTGTAACCAAACAAAAACATTAAATTTTTCAATGAAAACTATATGATAAAACGTTTAAAACTTATTGCCAAACACCCTAAAACGGATAAACACGCGGATCTTTTTGACCCGCTAAACAGACCTGCTTTCAAAAACAATATATAAACTAAATGTTAGAGCGAAATGATAAAAAGATTTGCTAGGTCAGTTGGTTATGTACATCCATATTGAGTGCCATGTCTTTCGTTCGAGTCTTGCTCTTGCATTATTTTTTTATTTTCGTTATTTTTTTCTGTTTTTTCACAGTTTTGTGTTTAATATTTTTCGTTTCTTTCTTTTACATATATTTATTTTCTCTGTAGTTTTGTGGGGTAAGAGAGAATTTCTTTTTAATTAATTCATTAGTTTTTTTCTGTTAATTTCCAAAATTTAAAGAAAAGAATAACTATCATAATAAATAGTCAACTTTTATGGTATATTTTTCATGTTAGTGCTATTAATAAATGTGCAGATTTTAAAAATATATAATTAGATTTTTAGTTAAACTTAGATTGCTAGACACACTTTCTTCTCTATATAAATATAGGCAAATATGTGTCAGTGTAATCATGAGGGTAACATACTCTCTTCCTCTCTCTCTCTATCTCTTTCATCGTTCCTCAATTTATTTTTTGTTCATCTATATTATACAGTAGAATTTATCATTTTATTTTTAAATCAAATAATATGATTTACATGTTTTCAATAACTTTAGATAGCTATTTTTTTAATAGATCAAATCGATATGTGCATTTATAATATTATTTTATCATATGTCATATATATTAATATATTTTATTTTCTTTTACAGGAACATGAAAACAAAATTATAATTGTATCAAATTCATATGCTCTTATATGATATGAGTATGAATAAAGTTTTGTTTATATACTTTTTTTTTTTTTTTTGTCAACTACTTTTTTCTTATTATGATGCAAATTCTAACTCTTCACTCTCTAAACTTCTTAATTTTCTGAATATGCAGGTTCGTTCTTTTGTTTAATATTCTGTTAATAATATGGTTTAATGTTCTTTTCTTAATTTTCTATTTTAATGTTCTTATTATAATTTACTAATTGTATTATGAATATTCTTAATATATTTTTTTCTTTTTTATTTGTCTTTTAAGCAATTAATTGTACCTAAACAATTACAATATTATATTAAATTATTTACCATCAATTTTTGTTATTTATAAATATGTAATATGAAACTATTAATGAGAATATATTGGCTACAATGAGTATTGAAAATATATGTCAACATTTTTTTTTATCATATCTTTATCAACTTGAATTACCTAAAAATAGAGAAATTTTATGATATTAGCATAACTAATGCATATATAAAGAAACAATATTTAATTGATCTAATGCATGTTTGATGGTTTTATTATGCACTAAATATTGTGTTTTGTCGCTTCTGAAAGCTAAGAGAAAGAGAGAGGGAGTCGAAGATTAGTTGTGTTTTGTTGCTTCTGAAAGCTAAGAGAAAGAGAGAGGGAGTCCAATAATTGATTTTAAGGCTTACGGAGGCTTGAGAGAGGGTTTCTGGAGGTTTTTGTGGCTGTTCTTGGGTGTTCAATCAAGGGATTTGCTGAGTTCGTGGATGTGGTGTGAAGAGAGGTTGCTAGAGTGCTTATCTTCTATGTTTTCTTCCATCCTTTCAATCCACATCAAGTTGAGTGCATGACCATGGTTCATCTAGGCATATAAAACCTTATGATGTGTGTTTGATTGATTTGGGTTGCTGGAATTGTTGTATTTTTGCTTGTTTATGTGATGTAGATGTTGTATTCTGTCTATCGATGGTTTAGAATTCAATTCTGGAGTCTGGAAGTGTTTGAATCGATCTCTAGGGAGAGGAGATGTGATTTCAGGGTTCCTGCGGAGCTAGTGTCGATCGACACCAGTTTGGGTGTAGGGCGACACCAATTTCTAGACAGTAAGTTTTCTAGACAACGAGTAGTCAGTGTCTGTTTATGCCTGGTTTGGTTGTTTTGATTGATCTAATGCATGTTTCATGGTTTTATTATGCATGTGTTTATAATCACTTCACTAAATATTTGTGATATACTCACGCATCTCATCTCACTAAAGAGAAAGTGTGATGTGGAATTAAGGCGAGGAGGAGGGCGATGATCTAGGGTCACTGGGTGTTTATGTTATTTAAATTTATTGTTTTGAAACATTGGATTAGACGCATGCTAGGTTCTGGTAATTGTTTCTGGTTTGATTTTGTTTTGGAGCCTTGGTGCGAATCTGTAACTCCTTGGAGTGCCTAGGTTCATTTCAGGAAGCTTCAAGACGTGCATAAGTGAATAAGGAAGGAGTCTTTGCAGCCTGATCTCCTTTGGCTCCATGTATGGTAAGTAGTGACTCGTCGGGTTTTTGTGTGGTAAGGTGTACTAAATGTCGTGTTGGTCAGTTGGTCAGCAAATAGTTCAGCATGCTTGTCAGCAAGTATTTCAGCATGACCGTGAGCGAGTAGTTCATAATGAACATTAGCTATCATATTTGAATCAGATGATGGTAAATGATTCCTTGATGACTTGGTGTTGCCTCATTAAAAACATTCCTAGGTAAACCCGTTGGGAAAAACCCTAGACAATGGAAAAAGAGCGCAACAGTCATATCCCAACAATAAGGTGAGTTGACTTGCTGATTTTTTATCCTTATTGAATCAGTGGACTTCTTAAGGTTAATATCATGGTGAATACTTAACCCTTCGCCTTGTACTTGATCAGAAGTCCATTAGGATAAGGTTCTTCAGAATACTCCTTGTAGACCGGTTTGTTGTCAAGACCAATTGGTTTGGTGTGCTTTCGGTTTGATCTAGTTCTGATGTTCGCATCAATTGGAACCAGGGATGACGCCATTATCTAAGGCGCCTTACCGGATGGCTTCAGTAGAGATGGCAGAGTTGAAGAGGCCTTAGGAGGAGTTGCTAGATAAGGGTTTTATCCAGCCGAGTACTTCACCGTGGACAGCACCAGTGTATCTACTACCGAGGATTGAACCAGGTCACTGTGAAAAACAAGTACCTTTTGTCGCGGATTGATGAGTTGTTGGATCGATTGAGAGGGGATACTTGGTTCTCCAAGATTGACTTGACGTCGGGTTATCATAAGATCCTGATACATAAGGCGGATGTTTGAAAGACGCGTTTCGAACGAGGTATGGTCACTACGAGTTTTAGGTGATGCCATTTGGGTTGACAAATGCATCAGCGGCGTTCATGAGGTTGATGAACAGTATGTTTCACGAGTATCTAGACGATTTTGTGGTCATTTTCATCACCAATATCTTGGTGTATTTTAAGAGTGCAGAGGAGCACGAGGTTCATTTTTAAACCATGTTAGAGAAGCTACGGGAAAAAAAGTTGTATGCTAAATTGTGCAAGTGAAGTTTCTGGCACTAGAAAGTTGGGTTTCTAGGCCACTTAACCTCAATGGATGGGGTATCTGTGGATCCCGAGAAGATTATGGCCATCAAAAATTGGTCGAGGGTGACGAATGCTACCGAGATCCGGAGTTTTCTTGGTTTAGCAGGTAATGAAAGTTCGTCAGGGTTTTGCGAGTATGGCTCATGAGGTGACTAAGTTAACAGGGAAGGATGTTCATTTTCTGTGGGCACCAGAGTGTGAGCGGAGTTTTGCAGACATGAAGGTGATGTTGACTAGTACTCCAGTGTTGGCGTTACCAGAGCAGGGTGAGCGAAATATGATGTATATTGATTCGTATAGAGTGAGTCTTGGGTGTGTATTAATGTAGCAGGGTAAGGTGAATGCCTATGTTTCAAGGGAGTTGAGGAAGCATTAGGGCATCTATGATACCCATAACATGGATATGCTGTAGTGGTGTTTGCCTTATAGACTTATATATCTCATCTTTATTGCGGAAAAGTACTGGTGATGAAGTACCTCTTTACGCTACTAGTGTTGAAATTGAGGTGAGAGATGTTGGAAATGTCCTGAAATCATTTCTACTTACGTTAGTTTAAGTTGTATCGACAAGGTTCAAAAGTCGAATAATATTAAACGATTAAAGCGTTTTGCTAGAAACCTCTTATAATCAATGACTTTAGAAGTTCTTATACGATCATGTAGGGTCACACATCTAAGTAGACTGGATCAAGGTTGGGTTTATATAGTATAACATATGTTATATAAGATATACACATATGATTATATTTGTGCAATTATAATTATAATTTATATAATAGATATTCTATATTTGATATATATATATATATATATATATATATATATATATATATAGTATATACTATATA